ATATTGTAACACATCTTCTTGAGTCAATTGTCTATTGATGGAGATTGAGGATGCCTCTAATGTCTTAGTTACTGCAAATTATGCTTCTATGAGTATTGTGGAGCATGTGGGGGTAATTCCTTGATAAGGATACATGCCCAAGTGTAGGATTGCTATGCCATAACATGTTTCAATATTTAGTTTTTTTAAGATAAATCCAGGTTTCTTTCCATATGATTACACCAGACACAGTCTCACCAATGTGCAGTGGGTTCTTTTCTTCTCTACATCCACTCCAACATTTGCTGTTGGGATCCTTTTAATATGCACCATTCTTACAGGTGAGATGGTATAATGCCATAGTTTTAATCTGCATCTCTCTTATATGAACATTTTTTTCACATGTCTTTTGGCCTTCTGGATATCCTTTTCGGTGAATTGTCTGTTCGTGTCTGCTGCTGTCATATCCTTTTTTTTTTTCTTTTCTTTCTTTAGCAGCAGTTATGATTAAAAAAGATTAATGGAAACCTTAAGTGTTCATCTCACTAACAATTTAAAAAGCTGAGTAGATTCTCTCTCTTGCTATCCAGCTCAGTTATCACTGGTAACAGAATACATAAGATTACCTTGCATGACTCTAATTTTATATAAAGAATGGTGCCAGTGACCAAAACTAAAGTTTTGATATTGATATGGAGAAATAAGATTATATTGAACTGAGGTATGATAAACTCAAGTATTACTTTTTAAATGAATGCTCTTGTTTTGGACAATTAAGACTTGTTATAAGCATTAAAAAAAAGTAATTGCTGTGGACTTCATAAGGCTGCTCTTTTCTAGAATCTTCAAAGTCTTTTCCAGGTTTAAAATTTGTTTCCCAGATTCAGGAAGGATATCATGGATAGCATAAATAATTGTGCGCATATGTGTATGAGTGTATCAAACAGTAAAATATATTATTAAACTTAGAATATTACATGGAACTGCCAAATAAGTATTTAATTTGGGTCTTCAATATGATCAGCAGGAGAAGAACTGTATTTACTGGTATTGATGTAGGTGGACCAGCTCATATCCCTGGCATGCAGAACAAAACTCAGTTGCTCTAATCTCATATAATATTTATGGAATGGAACAATGGTAGTATTATTTTTTCCATAAAAGGCCCTCAAATAATACTTTCTTCAGGACAGAGGGGATTAATCTCAAAAGTGAAAAATGACTTAAGAATAATGATACTATTAAAATGAATTAATTAAGCTAAAAATAAGCAAGAGAGGCACAATCAGACACACTCATCTCAGTCTGTTGTTAAAGTAAAAGGAAAACATATGAGCAGATCAAGTCAGGCCAAGTTGATGAACTGTGCATGTCTTACTGGAAGCAAAGCAGCTCAAGTGCAACAAGCTTATTCAGTCAGCCAAAAACAAAAACAACTTATTGTCAGTCACTGTGAACAGAATTCAAGCAAAACTGTGTGGTCTGGATAATCGCCTAATTGAGATAGCAAATTATATTGTCTTTTGAACTAATCATTTACAAAAATAAGCACTTGTCAACAGATTCTCTCATGCACAGAAAAGATAAAATTGTGCAATATGATGAAAAAACAGGCTAAAGTCACCACAGGCATCCAAGTCTAGCTGTCCCAATGTCAACATTATGCAAATGTGAGAATAACAGGAATAACAGGAAAGCTAGTTGAAATGTTATTTTCCTAAAAAATTAAGAAATCTTAACTTTTTAAATAAAAGCTTCTATATGCCTAAAGTAGCCTAAAGATTCTCACCAAGCCCAGTTTCTAAAATTTAAAGCCATGAAGACATCCAAAGCTATAAGAGTTTCATTAAAAACCTTTATTGGCATTATAGCAAAGAAAGCACTTAACTTTGCTGTTTTTTAATGAATCGATTTTCCTACCAATATATAAAAAGTAAAAATTTTAAAGTCAGTGTCTCTATGTATGACAAAGAGCATGCTGGCAATTTCTTGTAATTAGAAAGAAGTATAATATAGAGACACATGTGTAGATTACCTCTCTCTATTTCTATCTCTTTCTTCCTCTCCAGCCAGCCAGACAGCCCACCAGCTTTCTATTCATTTATCTATCTATTCATCCATTATTCCCAAATATTTATCTACCTATCTGTCTGTCTGTCTATTGCTCACACAGAATACTTAGGAATTGACTTATTAGGAGGCAATAATTTTTTGTTGTAAAAAATTAGGACCACAAGCAACAGTGCTTTAAAATCTCATTTTTATATAATGTTTTCAATGTAACTCCATTTTTCTTCAAATTGCACTGGGAAGGATGTCAAGACAAGCATATCTTCCTTTTTTTCGGGTTTTAAAATGAAGGCACAGAGAGGCCAGGATCCAAGGAAATGAGTGTTACAGGCAAGTTCACAACTTCTGTAACCCCTGATTCCTTCCACCAGGACAGTGGTAGTTGTCTAGAAGCTGTGAATCAGAATTTCATACACTGTGGTCTGAGACGACAATATAATTCTAATTTGTCTGGCTGATCAGTCCAGCTTTGTGCCCAGCAATAAAGTCAACAATATAGATACTGACACAGAAGAAAATGAGAAAAATAATCATGGTATTAAAAGGACCACAAAGGGAAAAATACAAGTCCAAACTAGCCCCTAGGTTCACCATCAGGATTTCTAGATCTGTAATTGGACAGTTATGCAAAAGGCCAAGTAAGTAGCAGCATTTAAATATAAAGTCACTGGATCATAGCTTGGCTTCCGTTAGGAACCTGGACAAATTTTCTACTTTTGTTAATCTGAGAAGACATGTTCCTTTTTTTCATGTCTCAACTGTAAAACCAAGTTGCTGGCTTTTTTTTATTTTTAGATTTTTATTTATTTTTTGAAATTATAAAGGTAACACTGATTTACAACATTGCATATGTTTTAGGGATACAGGTGTACACAGCTCTAAAATGTGTGTTATCACATCAAGCCGACTACCAAAACACCAACGAACTTCCACCGTCATCCACTGAGCCCTTCCTCTCTCAGCCCCCCTTTCCTGTCCTGTTCCTTCTGGTAACCTTGGCTCTTTTTTTTTTTTTTTTTTTTTTAAATACTACCACTGCCATACATATTCATCTGCTAGAATTGTAGAGAGATCCTGTCTCCCTTTGTTGCTGGGAATAAACTGCCAGTATGGAATCTGGATATTCTGCAGCATATACTACTCCCCCAAACACCCAACTCCAAATGGAGCATGAGGATATTCCCTGCTCCCACATTTCTGGTATTGGGAGAGCAAAACACCTTAAAGGAGCTTTCCATAGTCATCACCCCTAACATTTCTTCTGCTTTTCCTTTTTGACCCTCTCCAATCAGGCTTCTATGTGACAATTTGTCAAGGCTATTTATGGATTCCCACTTCACAGGAGCAGTAAGGAGGCTGTGAACTTGGGCTGCAGGTTGAGACCCAGAGAAGTTACAGATTATACCCGAATTAGGTTTTTTATTTATTGGCCTTCTCTGGTGGCGCAGTGGATTCAAGTGCACCACTGCAAGTTAGCCGCAGACACTTCAGTGCAAGTTCCATCCCTGGCCCTGGAGGTGATCCACATGGCGCGGCAGACCTCTTCTGACCCGCCCACTGCTCCCCTCAGCAGTGTGCTTTGTCAATATGCCTGTGTCTGGTGAATCCTCTCACCATCCCTGTACCTCTGGCCTGTATCCCAGTTCTGTATGAGTAAATAAATAATATTTTTTTAAATTAAAACAACTTCTAAAGATTATGCTTATTAAAAAAAAAAGATTTATTTACTTATGCATACAAGAACTGGGATACAAGTAGTGACGGGTGTGTGAGAGGATTCACCAGAGACAGAGTGAGGAGCAGAACAGACAGGTCTACTGAAATGCACTACAGAGAGGAGCAGGAGAAGTCTGCTGTGCCATGTGGGTCAGCTCCTGGCTGGGGATCAAACCCGTGAGCAGTGGCTGCAGACAGCTTCCCAGCACTGTGCTTTAACCTGCTGTGACACCAGGGAGGGCCCTTATAAGACTGTCCACATGCCCACCCAGCCAAATGAAGGAGGGGCTGCCCTTTGCAGGATCACCATCCTAGCCGCCAGCAGCCCCAGGTGCATCAGCTCAAAAACTGCTCAGTAACTCTTGCTCTTTCTGGGATGTGTGGCTTGTCCCCATGCAGTGGGTTCAGAGTCGCTGGAAACCCTGCAAGTCAGCGTGGGGAGGGTGAGGGCCTCTAAGATCACCATGCCTGCTGCCAGCAGCCCCAGGTGCATCAGCTTCTAGCCTGTCCAGCAGACAGTGTTCTCCTGGGAGGTGGTGCTATCTGGCTGAGAGGTCTAGGGATTGTGGCAAGTCCAGATACCTAGTCTTGGGTGCAGGGAGATGCCTTCAGACCATGAATGCCAGCCACCAGCATTCCTGGGCGCTTCAGCTCAGCTCCTGCCCAGCAATCTGTGTGCTTTGTGTTCTGCTCTGTTTCATGGCTGTGGTGCACTTGACATTCAAGGAAGCACCAGACGATGGCTGGGAAAGGAGAGGCACCTTTAGAGACTGCCAAGTGAGCTGCCAATGGCATTAGGGGTTGCAGCTCTGCAACCAGCTAGCACCCAGGGCTCTTCCAGGGTGCAGGTAAGTGATGTTTGCTCAATGGAAGATTAGGAGGAAAGGAGTCCATGTCGGGGTTGGGAGGCAGTGTCTTTTAGGACAGCGGGGCTAGCCATTAATAGTCCATTTACATTAGTATTATTCCCGCACCCCAGCAATAAGCATTGCATTTAGTAGGCGGAGCTCTGGTAGAACAGATATATCAAGGGGATACAGTGCAGGTAACTTAGCTGAGAGAGGTTGTGGTTTGGTGAGCTGAAAACAAATTTCCCAGCTTCTTTCACGGGCAAGAAATAAGGCCTCCATACCAGGCTGTTAGGATTTGCAGGGTTCAAAACAATTTAATATACCAATTAAAGCAAACATTTTTAACAGCAGAAAATAAGAAACTCAAAATGTCAAAGCACTTACTGCTGCTTGCCGGTGAGTATTGGACAATATCCCGTGAATCTTCACTTTGTCCTTTTCCATTTGATCTATGTTCACCCACAAATCCCGACTGGCAGAATCAGATGGACCGTATATCCGAGATGTATAGTAATTGTGATCTGTGTCCTCCTGTAACGAATGAGAATAATGTACATCAAGAACACATACATGTAAAGATTTCAGGGTACTGTGCTAATTGAAATAAGTTAGAGAAAGACAAATACTATATGATGTCACTTATATGTGGGCTCTAATATGGCTAAACTCTTAGAAGCAGAACAGAAATTGATTGTCAGGGGTTAGGGAGTGAAAGAAATGGGCAGATCTTGGTAAATGATACAAATTTTCAGTCTAGCTATCTAATATACAACATGCTAATCACACTTAATAGTACTGTATTATATGCTTGAATGTTGCCAAGAGACTAGAGTTTAATCTCAGCCCCACACACATGCTCTTGCACACATACCCACATACACAGATCAATGCATAGAAAAAATATGGAAATTATGTGACTTAATGAAGAGCTAACCAATGTTATGGTGGTAATCATTTTGTAATATATGTTTTTGAGTCAACAGGTATCTTAAACTGAACTTACACTTCAGCACTAACTCCATCCTGGGGCCGGGGCCAAGAGGTGACCCACATGGCACACCAGACCTTTCCTGTCTCTCCCACTGCTCCCCTCATCAGTGTACTTTGTAAATTTGCCTGTTCTGCTCCCCCTTTTGTTTCTGGTGAATCCTCTCACCATCCCTGAACTTTTGGCCTGTACCCCAATTCTGTATGCATAAATAAATAAATATTTTAAAAAATTATTTTTAAGGGGCCTCCCTGGTGGCACAATGTGTTAGGACTCAGCACTGCAAGCTGGCCACAGTTGCTCCAGTGCGAGTTCGATCCCTGGCCCCAGAGGTGACCCACATGGCGTGGCAGACCCACTGATGTTCCCCCCAACAGTGTACCTTGTTGATTTGCCTGTTCTTCTCCCCACTCTGTCTCTGGTGAAGCTTCTCACCACCTCTGCACCTCTGGCCTATACCCCAACTCTATATGAATAAATAAACCTTCAAAAAATATTTTTAAAACTAATAAATGTTCCTGATATTAGAAACGATAGTTTTCTTCAAAATAGCCAAGTGAGTTAATTCAGGGAAGTGATTTAGAAATATAAAATCAACAGACTTTTTAAAGAAGAAATTGTTAAATAAACAGAACTTTGAGGCAAATGTGTTTTTTGTGTTTAATAGTCTTTCCACCACAGTAATGTTAGGAATTTCTAATTATTGACCAACCCAGATGTCACTTTTGGAGCTACTTGCTGAAAACCTGAATTATAATTACTATCAAGTAACAATTCAAAATTCTTTAAAACTAGGGTTATTTTTCAGTTAATGGTCCTGGAAATGGAGATAACAATTCTTTTCTCTGTAATTCACGGATATTAAGTTCTACATTTATTTAAATCCTAATTATTGATATCACCATGATGCCTTTAGTTTTAAAGTTTTCACTCAATACAAAGTTTTTATATCTTAAAAGGCAATTCTACTGAAGGATGTGCAGAAAAATAATATGATTCTGGACTAATTTGGACTGAAACTGATATTTTTACTATTAAATATAATTGTGCTTATCAATTTGAGATGTTTTTAGATAGAACACATTTTATTTTATTAAAGATTTATTTATTTATGCATACATGAACTGGGATGCAGGCCAGAGGTTCTGGTAGGTGAGAGTGTTCACCAGAGACAGAGTGGGGAGCAGAATAGGCTGACTGAGGAAGCACATTGCTGTGGGGAGCAGCCAGTGGGTCGGGAGAGGTCTGCTGCACCATGTGGGTCAGCTCCCTGTACAGGGATCCAACGTGCTGCCGTGACTGTGGATAGCTTCATAGTGCTGCTCTTTAACCCACTGTGCCACCTGGAAGGGCCCTAGAATGCTTTTTAAAACAATTAGGCAAATTTAATAATGTTTAGTGATTTAAGAAAAATAAACTTTGGGTTATAAAGTCTGTCTAATGCATTTATTTCCCAAGTGCTAATTAATTAAAATTCAATTATTCTTGAAATGCAGTTAAAATAATAATCCCGTGTACCTTTTCACAAGTCATCATGTTAAATGTATAGAGAACTGACAATATAAAGAATATGTGTGTTCTAAATAGATTTTTCCTTATACCCAAAACAAGAATATGACCCTAAATATAAAGAGAAACTTTATACTTACATTTATAGTAGTGATTAAATTAAAAGTAAAAAGTATCATATTTTTAAAAAAATATCCTTGGTATCTACAATTAAACTATATATTTGTATAAATTATGTGGATACCCATATTTGTATAAATTATGTGGATACCCATGATTAAAGGAAAAATTTTCTACAGGGAAAGAAGAGGATGTAACAAAGAAAAAAATCAGGGATAAATTTCTATGCAACCCAAGAAAACTTCCACATGCTAATGGTTTTCAAGCCCTCCCCTCCAGAACAAGCCAAAGACTGCCTGAGTTCTAGAAGTGTAACAAGCACTATGGTTGTGATTCCAGAATGAACTCAATTTCTGCCACTGTCTGGAACTTGACCACTGGAAGTTCCAGAGGAAATATCCTCCTGACATTGGGCAACAGCTTTTCTGTACGTCATTCCACTGGTCTTAAACTTGGTTGGTAGTTCACGGCGCATAATTTAGGAAGGGTCAACTAGTCTTATAGGAGATAAGATAGAGCAGGGACAATTTTCCCTTATTCTGATTGCTAAGACATGTGGTATAAGATTAGAAAATACTACCACCATGAAGTTAATCTTACCTGAAGACACAGAAAATACAGATAAGAACAGAACCATACACATTGCAAAGAAAGTCAGACCGCTCATCAAATATATCTAAGGGTAACCCAGTTCACTTAGATAAAACATTCATTCTCTTTATGGTTAAAATAGCTTTACTTGGAGGACCAGAGGAGGAAATAATAATAACAATGAACAACTATATACCAGAGACATTTTACCATTTTACAGGGGTAGAGAGAGGAATGGGATCAAAAACTGTGGGGCGAGGGAAGTGCAGTGGACTATGGTGATGTCACACGTGTGATTTGGTGATGGGAAGCCCACAGGGTTACAACTAATAAACTATTGGATTATTATTATGTTTTTCTTTTTCCATCTCAGTTGTAATCCCCGTGGGCTTCCCATCACCAAATCACAGGTGTGACGTCAACATAGTTCACTGTACTTCCCTCCCCTGACAGTTTTTGATTCCATTCTCCTCTCCACCCCCGTAAAATGTCTCTGTTATATAGTTTTTCATTGTTACTATTATTTTCCCCCCCCTGGTCCTTTATAACCCTGCTATGAGTGAAACCATCTGGCATTTTTCTTTTTCTTTCTGGCTCATTTCACTAAGTATGACCCCTTCTAGCTCCATCCATGTTGCTGTAAAAAGCATGTGTTTTAAAAATAGACTATTATATTATTAAAAAAAAAATCTTTAGTTGAGTTAATGTGAACCAAAAGAGTCCTAACTGAAATCAAGTTTTCTTAATGTGTCACCAGGAGAGACTTACTTTAAGGGGCACTAAATTAGGCAACCTTATCTACAGGTTTACAGATCTGGAAAACAAACATCTATTCAGTTCTGGTAATCTCTCTTTGGTATTATTATAAAGAGTTCACCAACACTGAGGTCAAAGATGTAATATTTAGGTGAATTATCTAGCAGATTCTATAATGCTCCCAAATTTCCATGAAATGAACACGTATTTTAGTCTTGTCTTTTTTAAAAGATTTTATTTATTTATGCATACAGAACTGGGCTACAGGACAGAGATGCAGAAGTGATGAGAGGATTCACCAAAGGCAGAACAGGGAACAGAAGAGGCAGGTTGATAAGGTACACTGCTGAGGGGAGTAGCGGGCAGGTCAGGAGAGGTCTGTGCCATGTGAGTCACCTCCCTGGCTGAGGAGTGAACTTGTGTTGAAGCCGCTGTGACTAGCTTCATAGTGCTGTGCCTTTTCCCACTGAGCCACCAGGGTGGGCCCCTTTAATCTTTCAATATAAAATTCAGTATATGTGTTTCTGTCAAGTATATGTGTTTCAGTCAACATATCTAAAATGACTTGTTATTCCCCATAATCCCTAAATCTCTATAGTTAATCAATAAACAGTCTTAAAGTTAACATAATGGTCAAGAACATCACTGTTTTAAATAATGGATTATATTGCACTGATATGGCCTTGTGAAATATTCCTTCATTTTTACTTGAAACAGAGTTGCTGAAAACAATTTAAGATAACATCTTTGAAAATACTGAAGAGCTAAAGACTAGAGCTTAGTGTTTAAGATCTACCACAGAAGTTTACCAAGTTGTCATGGCAACTTTTATTCAAAGAGGAAGGCAATTTATTGTTTACCTAGGGATTTAGAGATGCAAGTTTTGTTAAATTTCAGGGAGAGGTGTTTGACTCAGTTATTCAGAACAGCTATAAAACAGACATCTCAAAAATGTGACATCTTAGTACTACTAAATTATTCAAACCAAATCATGTCTTTTATAAGAGTAATGGTACTTAAGGGGTTGTCAAAGCCACTTCAGGCAAAAAGATTTTCCTATACTGCTGAAAAGAAAACAATTTCTAACACCACAGAAAATAAAACAAAACACTACTGTGATATACTTAGTTGCCAATTTATTTAGGAAATGAACTGTTACTCAAAGTCAATGGCACAGTATGTAGCTATAAATCCTATAAACCTGTGTTTCTCAAACGAGTCTGGAAATGTGTGTGCAGCTGTAAAAAAAGAAGGTAAATATTGAAAGGAAAGAGCACAAGTCAACATAACTTTAGCCTAAACATTATGCAAAAATCAGTTTATACATTTCTCCTCTTAAATGTTTCTTCTCATCTACCAATGGTGTTGATTTTATAATGGACAATTTTATAGATTCTTCAAGTTCCAGAGGCAAAAATAGTATTTGAGCTCTAAATTAATTGCAGAGAACTGAAACAATTAATTATCAATAATTTTTTACAGTATCAGTCCTCACTGGTTGCTCAACAAGTTAAAGCACAGCCTTGCAAAGCTAGCCTCAGCTGCTTCAGCACAAGTTAGATCCCCA